AATATGGTGTCCACACATACACACATAAATTTCTACTTTCACCCTAAATACGACCCTGTTTTGATAACAATGAAAATTATACGATCTCTAATTCTAATTTTAGAAAAAAAAAGTAAAATACTTTTATTTATTGTAAAATTTATGTTATTAAAATACTTACTATTGATATAAATAGATATCTTTATTTATTTATAAAATGTCAGGTAAACCATTTAAATTTATAGATATTTTAAAAATAAATATACATCTTTGACATACAGTACTATATTTTTTAATTAATTTTTAACATGTAAAATATTACATAAAAAATTTAATTAAATTTATAAAAATTAATATAATTTAAAAAATTGATATTATTAAATATTATAATTTTTAACAAAAATTTACTATATATAAAAAATTGTTATAATGTATAAATGGGGGCAGATATTAAAAAAGTAGTTTAATTATTTATGCGCAGCACCAATGATTGAACGATGGAGGCAATCCAAAAAGAGGGGCAACATGGTCATTGGACCTATCTTGAAATAGCAATGGCAATGAGTGAAACAGCAGGGTCCGGAATTCACGTGCGAATCACATGCGGAGGAACACCGTACGGACCCAAGGAAGAAAGATGGGGCCCTTATTTGAGTTGATGTGTAATCGATGGTTCCAATTATTGGGTGACTCCTGACAAGACTAGGTATTTCAGCCCAAGTGACTTATTTTTCCTTAAAAACTGAAAATCATACTACAAATAAATAACATAAAAAAAAGAGTTAAAACAGAAAAAACATTTATTTACCGTAGTTATTGGAATGATTTGACTTGATGTTATTAATTAAGAAAGAGTTATTTATTTAACGAAGAAGAAGAAGAAAAGGGAAAATGGGAGGAAGGTGGAAAGAGAAGTGGAAAGGTACCTAAATTCACGTGTAAATCACATGGGAAATGAGCCTCGTACGGGGAAGAAGAGTTTTAGTTTAGTGGAAGAAAATGAATATTTGTGAAAAGGGGAGGGATAGTGGGAAGAAGAAGGTCGATGAATGATGATGGGTGGGTTTGTCGGGTAGTGGGTGTTACATTAATGTGTTATGATTTAATAAGTTAGGGAGAGATCCATTATTGGGGTGTGTGGAAAGACTCAGCCCAATGCAAGGGAACACGTGGGACAGCTATCACGCACTCGTGGGGACACTCTTAATCATCACCCGACATCTTGTCTCTCTCTGCCATTCACTTAACTATTCTTAATATCACTTATTTTTAATTATTCACATATCGTTTCTTACCTTCTTTCATTAGCTTATTTGTAATTCTGGTTGAAACAGTGATCACAAACTTTGGGATTCATTAGCCCTATTCAATGATTAGGGCAATTGGGTGGGAAACCTTTCCATCCCCTGTGGAGAAGGGTCTTACTTGTAAGTTGCAAACTCAATTCTATTAGTGAACCATACCAAACGGACAATTCATCAACGTAGCATTTTCAATTATTGAATTGTAGAATACAAGATAGGGATAGGGATACCGAATGGGAGCTGCTAACTGCTAACTCCTAACTCCCTCAAGACGTTGCTTCAAAATTCTAACCCCCTTTTTACAGAGAAAGAAATCTCAACTCACACGTGCCGTTGCCAGTGACACGGTATCAGGTGCCTGACTGGTAGCAAGTGCAAATGAGTGCGGTCACTTGCACGCGCCCTCAGAGAGTGTCGCTCAAATTCTCAGAGAGACGAGGGGTGTTCAAATGATTGTGATAAGGAAGGTGTCGGCGTGTGAAGAGACAGAATGACACCCCACGAATTTGTTTACGATTCTGTTACTATATTTCCTTTTTTCTTCCAATAATTTAAAATATCACATAACATTGGTTTATAAATTAAAATAACTAATTTAAATGTTCTTCACCAATCTTATTTTATTTATATTTGTTATAGTTCATTATTCAAATTTTATTAAAAATTACCATACTCTTTTTATAAAAATAATTATAATTTAGCAAATTTTTTATTATATATATTAAGAAAATATTTTCTTTTATCAAATTTTGTTTTGATAATAGTAAAATAAGGTTTTTCTAATATGAACTGTTAATAATATATTTTAACAAAGGAATAATTTAGTTTCATATTACTTTTTTTTCTTAGGATTATTTTTTTTTTATTATTGTACTACTCTAGAGTAACCATTATCTTAATAGATTACTAGTATATATATATATATATATATATAATGTTTTTAATTATTAAATGAGAACAATTGCAAATATTTTAAAGAAGTTAAAAAATATTTATTTAATTTGAACGATGATTAAAAAGAAGGACCCACGTGTGAAGATATGTAAGGAGCTGTTGCAGCACGTGTCGTGCAGAGGCATGTTGGTTCATGTGAGTTGGGGGCAGGTTTTTGTTCCACGCTTCATTCATTTTCGCACCACGTGAACACCAATCGCACTTGTCCCCCTTCTTACTTTCACCTTTCTTGTCTCTTCAATTGCTTGGCTTTTCTTAACTTTAAAAAAAAAGATTGATTTGGCTGCTTGAGTTGGATAGGCCAAAATATCTGGTTAGAAGGGGGAAAAGTATAATTATTTTGTAAAAATAAGAAATTTAAAATGAATAATAAGTAAAATAAAAATGGCATTTTTTTAAAGTTAACTGTTAATTTTGTTTTACACTTTTCATTTTAAAGAAAAATTTCTAAATAATATGAAAAACTTGATTAAATTAATAAAAATTAACTGAATCAAACTCACTTTTAAAGACCTACTTACGAAAAGAATATTTGAAAATTTTATAAAGAGTACTTAGATTATATTCTTATTTAATATGAGATATATTAACACTTTTTTTATCTCGAATTAGATATTTATTCGTTCAACTTAAAATAAAATAAACTTCAATGTTATATTAAAAATAAATTCAATTCAATTCACCTTTAAAGATACTTTAAGACAAAAATATTTCTTAACCATTTAAAAAAATGACTATATTTCTAATAAATATGAAACATGTTAGCATAAATAATACTAAAATTATTTTTTAATTTATCTAATTCCATGCTCTTTACTTTTGTTTCTTTTCACGTGATTTGTCTATTTATTTTTATTTGCAACTTAACTCAGACAAATATTTGAATTATTTTTACTAAGCATAAATAATACTGAAAGTATTACTTTCTGTGTTAAGAAAAATGAATATGAGAAGTTTTCAAAATTCTAATGGTTTAAATATTTTATTTTAAAAACATGAGTATATTTTATTTCAGTGTTTTTAAATTTTTGTTATTTTTTTAACGTAACCTTTATGACCAAACAGGGATGCATCTAATCAGAATGCGTGACAACTATTTTGAAATGATAAATAATATGACGTTATTCTATACATAACGTGATATTGTGTGAAAAATAAATTTGTAAAATAATGGCACCTACTATGATTGTAACAGAGTGGGATTAAATTAAAATGAATTATCAGTATAAACGGAAGAAGGCAATTAGGGTAGGGAATGGGAAATGTGCAGCATGATAACCAAGAGAACAATTATTGGCGTGCGCTTGTTACCAAAAACGCTCCGCATCGAGTAAACGTGAAAACAGGCGTGGAAAAGCAAAATACATTTACCCCCCACGCGCGCGCGAGTCCTTCTCTGGACACGAGGAAGAAACAAACGAAGTTGATTATTTTCACAGGGGAAGATAAAAGAAAAGAAAAAGTTTGAGAAAGCGACGTTGTTGGCTGGGGAGAAGACCCTCGTGGTGATCGCATGGGTGAAGATTTGTGTGTCGCGTAGGATAAGGGATAATGGGGACCCACTCAGGGACAGCCCAAATAAAATGAAAAGGTTATCTGTTTGGTTCCAATCATGACCATTGGCTGTGCTGATTTTGATGGATGTCCAAGGATCATGCATGTTCCAACATGTCACATTTTACCTCAGCCGTTGATTTTCCGAACTCATTCTTAATCTTCAGGTGCGACCTGTCCCACTCTGTTAAATGCTCAAGATTTCTTGCGATTTGCCACAAGACACCCCTATCATGCCTAAACCCAGGTCCATTTATTTTGCCCTTACTCCATTAGTCATCTATGGCACCAACATCTTTTCCTCCCAACCAGCCTCAATTAATTTTCATTGTATCAAACACCTTTATCTATATTTCAGTTTTTCCGTTTCTTAACCTTAAACTCCCTGTTACACTCATTATTGTCTTCTGTACTTTCAAATGTACAGTTCCATTCCTAAACCAATATCAAGTGTTTCATTAATGATATTAATTAATTTAAATAAATATTTAGTTTTATAATTTTGCACATGCTTATTGAATATCTAGTCTTATCAGCTTTATAGCAAAATTTAGAAAAGGAAATCCAGTCTCATCAACCAAAAAATAAAACGTTGCATGAACAGTGATGTGATGTATATAGTTATCGTCTTATCAGAAAGCCTTTCACAGGTCGTCTTCATCTGGCTGATGGCTTATGGATGTGAAATAACACCCTCCTTTATGTAAATTTAAATTTCAAAGGTGACATCGTTTTCGTATTTCCTCGTTACGAGTTGTATTCCACTACCGGATTTATTACATCACAATTAATAACATTTCGGTTTATAATTTCTTATTATTACATTCTTAACAAAAAAAAAGTAAAAAATATGTTGTTTTGAACATGTTATCAGATTAATTTCAAAGGAGTTTGGATATTTTGGCAAAAAAATATTTAATTAAATAATATTTGATATTATTGAGCGGTCAAAGGTATTAGTTGTGCACTTGTGGAGTGGGGGGTTTTCCTATGGTGCAAAGTGAGAAGGTTATCCAAGAAAAACAGGGTGAAAGTGAAGTTTTAAAAAGGTGATCTCCATTTACCAAATGGTCAATGGTAAGAATATAGAGGTTAACGAGGCGAAGATATGAATGAAGTAAATGAGGGAAGACAGAGAAAGCAGGGTCGTATTATTTGGGGGGCAAATGTCATGATTGAGATAACTGGCCTTGCTGACATAAAGTCATCATTGAACTTACATAACACTCCCACCCATTCTCTTTCCTTTCTATATAATCTCCACCAACACGGCCCCTGCTACACTTCAAAACCACCCTCTCCTTCCTTCTTTATACCCCTCTCTACGTGTGAAAAAGCTCACTCTCTTTCTCTCACCAAAACCAACTACCCAATAGTCTCAAACTCAGTCTCTCAGTGCACAAGTTCTTCTTCAAACGCAAAAAGGGTCTAGAGATGATGGTTGGAAAGGAAGATTTGGGTTTGAGTCTAAGCCTCAACTTCCCTCAGAATACCCAAAATCCCCAACAGCTGAATCTCATGTCTTCTTCTACTCATTCCTCTTCTCCTTCTGCTTGCAATCCTCACAAGGCCTCTTGGAACGACCCTTTCACTTCCTCAGGTATTTATTATTGTTCCTGATTTTTATGTTGCATGCTAATGTTCCAGATCTGGTCAAGTTTCTGCCTTTCTTTCCTATTTCTCCTCCATTTGCTCATTCACTTTGATCCCGATTGTGGGGTTATTCGTTTTTCCAGAGAACAATTTTTACCCTTTTCTCTTTTTCTCTTACCCTTCATTTTCAATATCTTTTGCTTCACAAACGAAAGATTCCAACCACCCCTCTTTCCTATTATTGAACAAAAAACTTATGATTTCATCAATCAAAGTTAATGGTTTTTCTTTTACATGCAGATCGAAACTCCGACACATGCAGAGGCGAAGCTCGATCGTTCCTGCGCGGAATCGACGTGAATCGGTTACCTTCTGCGGTTGATTGCGAAGAGGAAGCAGGAGTTTCGTCCCCAAACAGCACCGTTTCGAGCGTAAGCGGAAAACGAAGCGAGAGAGATGCTAACGGCGAAGAACACGACATGGACAGAGCCTGTTCCCGAGGAATCAGTGACGAAGAAGATGGTGAAACCTCAAGGAAAAAACTTCGACTCTCCAAAGACCAATCAGCTATTCTCGAAGAAAGCTTCAAAGAACACAATACTCTTAACCCAGTAAGCACACAACCTCCGTTAAATCATAACCGTCGTCATCATCATCATTGTTATGGTACTAATGTGAATTAATGATTTTGCAGAAGCAAAAGTTGGCACTGGCAAAGCAGCTAGGCCTTAGACCAAGGCAAGTAGAGGTGTGGTTTCAGAACAGAAGAGCGAGGTTAGTTAGTATGATACGAAATAATTCAATTTATTTTAAATGTTTTTTTTTTCGTGAATTTTGATGATTTTTGTTAACGTGGGCCTGGTGAAATTTCAGGACTAAGTTGAAGCAAACAGAGGTGGACTGCGAGGTGTTGAAAAGGTGCTGCGAGAATCTGACGGAGGAAAATAGAAGGTTGCAGAAGGAAGTTCAGGAGCTTAGAGCACTGAAACTTTCCCCTCAGTTCTACATGCAGATGACCCCACCAACCACACTCACTATGTGCCCGTCTTGTGAGCGGGTGGCTGTTCCATCTTCCGCCGTTGATGCTGCCACCCGTCATCATCCCATGGCCCAGGCCCATCCTCGGCCCATCCCCATTGGCCCATGGGCTTCGACAGCCCCCATTCCGCACCGGCCGTTTGATGCCTTCCATCACTGATCATGGTGGTTTACGGGTGTTTTGGTCATTGTGAATTGTTGTTGTTATTAATATGGGCCTTTTGTTAGTACTTGTACCATTTAGGGGTACCCTGAAAGAAAATGAGGAAATTGGGGGGAACATTGAGAAGCTGTTGTAATAGAGTGCAGTGGAATCGTGCGGTCTAGGATATGGTATTAGAAGACGTGATTCGGTGGGTCTCCAATGTTTTGTACTAGTTTTGACCCATCATCTTTTGTTTTGTTTTGTTGGGTATGACCTATTAGTTAGGAGGTTTTCAGTTTTTAGTAATACTTAACTTTTCCCCCCTCAATGTCAAGACTAAACAGACTCTGTGTAAAGTGCAATCATCTAATTAATTATATAGACTTCGTTTCCATAGCCTATTTCACTTAATTGGGATTTTTTACAAGTTTTTATAAGTGTTTTATTTTATCCCACCCAATGAAACAATTATTTTCCTCTTTTCTTTAGAGGTGTAAAAGAGTCCAATTGTGTCACTTATTTAGATTTTGTTTATGAAAAAAAAAAGTGGTTATATATTTAGGTTTGATTTGTTTATTAAACAGTTTAAATTTGAGTTGATTAAAACTTTAGAAAATTAAATGTGTTTAGTTTGATTAACTTTGAAGATATAATTGTTTACTTTTTACAGTTTTATGAGAGAATATTAAACAAAACTATTATCTTTTGTGAAAAAGACTTTTTTATTAAAATTTATTTTTATTTATTAATATAGTATTAATACATACCTTCAGGTAAAATATAAAATAAAATGGTTATAAAATATAATTATATTTATATTTATGGATGATTTAAATTTAATGATAAATATTTATGATGAGAAAGATAGATCTTTTAAAATTATCATTCATTTAAATAATTGACGAATAAGTGAAGTCCTTTACATTTCTACTGTTCCTAAATCTCTGTATTGAATTAAATTTTACTTTCATGTTTGGTCTTTTATATTAAAGTCAGATTTTGATTTATTGTTGTTAGCAAGATACGGCTAGGCGTAAATACCAGGAAAGATCCTCGTTTGATTTTGAAGATATGGGATGGATTATTTCTTAATTTTGGATTAGAATGAGTCAACAAGATAACTTCGTAAGCTGGAGAAAAAAAGAGAAACGTGAATTATCATTATGGGCCTCATAATCATTGTGAAATGAAATGGTTCTGATTTTTCTCGTTCGAACTTGAATTTGTTTCTTATTTTACGGGTCAGGTCTTTGATATGGGTTCAAATATCTAAATGATCAAATGGTAATTTGAAAAGTGTGGGTCGTTATCGGTCCTAATAACATAGGCTTGTATAACATGCTCCTTATTTTCATGGATTATGTTCCTTTTATAAACTCCAAGGATTGATGTGGAGCCCCTCAAATCTAATGATTGTAAAAAGTCACGGCAATATTATCCTACATGATATTTTAATTGAAAATTTTAGGCTCGCAACCTCTATAAGAAAGTCTTCGATAATATCTCTTATAAGGTAATGATGCGAATATTTCATTCAATGTTATGTACTATGGAAACACATATCCCATAATAAGTAAGTGTTTATCAAATTAAATTGAGAATTGTAACTCACACGTTTTACCAAGTCCATAATCCACTTAAGTACTACGTCATTTGTTATCCACCCAGTCAAAGCCTTATATGTCATTCAATGTTATTTGCGGTGGGTGAGACCTTTCTTGCTTTTCTTCCCCTCATTTTCTGTAATCTGACTTTTTGTTTATCAAGTTATAATCTGTCTCCAATTGATTGCCCTATCTGGCTTATCATCATGAGATTGTTTTCGCTTTGGCGAGTTTATAAATACTAGGCAAAGATTGCTTATGGCAGAGATTATGCACAAAATAGTATTTGGGTTGATAATGTTTAGTTGTTTTTTGAGATAGACCTTGTACCCAAACTAATCTGACTTGTTAATTAAGTGCTGCATGTTATTTTTAATAAAATACACATTTTAATGTAAATATGTGATTTAAAATAATTTAAGTACATTTATTATTTTTAATTTAATTTTATCAAAATTATTCTGTCAAGTTTAAATTAAACAAGCAAAACATACTTTATAGAGGCAAAAACCCACCTCAACAAGTTAAAACATGTTTATTTTAAAATTAAAATAATTTGAAATTATTAAATATAATTAAGATTTGTATCCGAATTAACTTTAACTATTAAATTTACATTAAAAGGACTATTGTAGCTTGAGAAATTGATTGAGTAATCGTCAAACAAACACTTAAAGGTATATTTGTATTATTTACATAGAAAATTAAAATAATAAATTAATATAAAATTAACATATTAATGTTTTATTTATTTTTATAAATATTATATCATTATGTAATTTTAAAAAATAATTTATTCTTTTTTTCTTCAAAAGCTGGACTCCAAAACATACCCTTATCGGGATATAGTTGCTCTTTTTTTTGGTTCTAAAGTTGCCTGTTCGTTTCAGCAACTTGTTTTACATGTTTTATGCTACTTAGCTAAGTCTAGTTGGTTGGGAATAAGAGCAATTATATTCTAAAGCTGTGTGCATGCATTTTCAAACGCACCATTAGAATGAAATGACAAATTGCACTTCATCTGTGATAAATGAAAGGTACTTAACTCCCATTGTAAAGACAGAAATGTAGTAATAAATCAGCCACAGCTCAATTAATGAGACAACATAGATGAGCAGAAAATGGCCTAGAAGGAAGAATAAAACCCACTATTAGGAGTCGAGAAACAAGGCTCACAAATATTGGGTTCTCGTTGCCCAAGGAAAGCCTTTGCTCATCAAACTTGTTCCACACCGATAATTTCGAAATGGCCCATTAAGTAAAAGTTAAATTAAGGAAATTTGGTGCCACGGAAAATTGAAAACGTCTTTTAAGTGCCCTATCTCCACCAATTTTCAATCGAGCAGTGAAATTGTTTAGTTTATGCTGATCATTATGCTGACTTTGCATGTAAGCAATCGCCCATTACTTTATTACTTTTCAAGGATATTCCATCAGAAAAATATAGGCCAAAACCTTGTTCATTTATTGGAGGGCCTTATATACAGTCAAATGTCACTGTTATGTACTCATAAGTTGAAACCTGATGGCAAACTAGGCCACAAATGTAAGCATAAAAAGAAAATACTTATCTCTTTTGTTTGTTTTATTTCAGACTATTTTTCCTTATGTCCCTAAAATGACCAAATTTCCTAGAATTATTTTTCCCAGATCCCAATTACCGCCAAAATTTGGGGCTCCATTGTGACACACTGAGCTTGGATGGGTCATGGATGACAGAACCTAATTTTTACAAGTCAGGTAGGAAGAATGTTGTCTTCTTTTGTATAAAGAACTGTAATTTTCACTCTGTATCTAAAACTTTGATCTTAGCTTTATTTCATATGAGATGCAATTCTGTTGCACTCGTAAATTGCCGAAAATACAACAATAATAGCAATATCATCATCTTTTTTATTTATTTCCATAGTGTATATGCAAGCATGAGATAAAAAAGAGAGCTGACAAATTAGTGAATGAAAATGATAGTTCCACTTTTTTTTCATAATGGTCAGACTTTAATGCAATGACTAAAATTTTGTTGCCCATCATGTTACCTAGTCCAAATGACTGATATGACCGAGCTGAATCCATATGCACATATGGGTTATAAATGATGATGACTACATCAGCTTGGTTATGGCCAAACACATCACAATTACCCATTCAAAAGGAGTCTTGAAAGCGTACGTATATGTAACCAAGAAATTGAAGTTTTACCAAAGTGCAGGTAAAGTCAGTAAATAAATCTGTCTATACCATAAATTATGGGGTGAAATAGGACACAAATTCAATTACAACCTTAGTATCATGGAAAGAAAACATCCACTTTAATTTAATTACATCCACTTCAATATTACCTTGAAGAGTTTCTTGTATTCCGTGTACTCCTCTTGATGGAATCTATTCTCTGGAGCCTTATTTGTTCTCTAAATTTAGCAATGAACTCATCAGCTTTCTTATCCACATCTGGTCCTTCATCACCAATGGTTCCAAAGCAGGGTCCATCTATTCTTGAATTTTCTTCACCAACACGTATTGAACTTTCCTCACTCTCATTATTTTCAAAAATTCTTCCTCCTCCAACATCTTCATCCCCGCTTTCCGAGTCTTCATCATCATCATCCGATTCCACAAGTACCTTGTCAAGAAAACTTTCTTTCTCTTCCTCTCCAAGAGCCACACTTGCATGCCCCATCAACTCTTGTATGGAACGTTCTTGTTCTTCATCAGATTTTTCTCCCATATTTGACATGTTCTCAGCATGGCCTTTTGCTTTCACTTCCATTCCCAATTTCACGTTATTTCTCTCACTTGTTGTGAAGCTTCTCTTCAACTCCTTATTGAAAGAAGCTTCTTCACTATTTAATGAACCATACCTTGGCTTCATTGAGATTGATTTCTGAAACATCATTGGTGGGGGTGGTGGAGGTGGTGGAGGACAAGACTTGTAAAATCCCTTCTTCCTTGACAAATCCTCTCCGTTCTTAGCAAGTGATTCTGGTGAAGGAGACAGAGAACTTGATCGTGAACGTGAAGTTTTAGACTTCATTGAGAGAGATTCCTCCATTGAAGGCTTTGAAGACTCAACTTCTTCTTGTTTAGGTTCCATTCTTCCTGATCTAGAACGCCATGGGATTGGAGAAGGAAGCACAACGTTCTCTTTCATCTTATCCTCAACTATTGCATCACCGTGACCTTCAAGTTCTACATTTCTAGACCCTTTATTCAAATTGCTTGAAAACCTTTTGGAGCTTGTCTTAGAGGTTGTTGTTGACCTGTTAAGAGAGAAAGAGGTAGTAGTGGTGCATGATTCATCATCATCAACAGCAACACTACCCTCATCAGATAAACGAGACTTCAAACTTCTAACAGGTAAAAGCAAAGGCTTTTCACCACCAAGCGTATCAAAATTATGAGAGCGATGTTGTGCTTGTGGAGCCACAATAACCACGGGTCGGTTCCAGTAGTGTTGGTGTTGGTTACTCCACGTTTGGACTTTGGTTTCTTCAGTCTCAGATGGGTTTTCATTTTCAACCTCGTCGTCCTCGAAAAACGAAGAGACGTGTAAGACCCGTGAAACGAGTGATTGTGCAGTGTCGAACTTTGAGTTGTTATTATTCTCTTTCTCGGCTTCATTGTTTCGGCGACTGAACAATCCGTAAGAGATGGCAACACCAACGAAGAGAAGGTGAAGGAGTTCCCAGTTTCTGGTGACTAAAGATTGGTTGATGAATTGGGGAGCTTGTGAAGGGAACAAAGGAAGAATTACGAAGAAGATGAGAACTATTGCAGCTTTGTAGAGAAAATGGTAATGGAACTTAATTGGGTCTTCTTGGTTGTGTTCAATGGTTGATTTTTTGTGGTGTTTGGGGGTGTGGATTGCACTTGCCATTGCAGAACGAAGAGAAGAAAAGAGAAGGAGAATGTTTGAGTTTGAGGGAATGCAGAAGAAGGGAAGGAGGGAGATTAAGGAAAGGGGGAAAGAGAGAATAGGTAATGTGGGGAAGAAAAAGTGTTTGGCAAATTTGAAGCTTTTGTTTCTGTTTGGTTCGCACCGTCAGAGACAAAATGTCAAGCGTAGCCTTCCATTGCCTTTATTCCGTTTGTTGTAGTTTACCTTTTCGCCCTTTCTCTTTACTAAACACTTGCTTTCGGTCATAAGATCAAAATCATGATAATCTACTAGAATCTCTGTTGAGTGATGCACAGCTAACAAGTTGTTCGTTAGAAAAATAGTAAAATATAAGTGACATGAAAGTCCATGACCTTCTTTCATCTTTGAAGATTATATAATTGACTTTCATATTAGGAAGTAAGAAGAAAACATTAAGGAGTAGATGGTTGGATAAATTAAAATTGTCATGTTTTCTTTAGACTCTAGAAATAAATTGTGAATATAGATTGTATTTGTTCTTTCCTGACGAAACAACTGTCTTTAAACCTCTGATCTGGCGTCCTTCTGCTGATTTGCTGATAGGGAGAATACCTGCAAAAGGCACTCTGATGATAAAGTCAGGATTCGGTTCTGAGCAATAAATGTTATTTAATAATCAGAAGTCAACTACTTACCTGTATTTCTTATCTTCTTTTTATAGACATTCTATTGGGCTAATGGGCCTGAGTCAATTTTTATATTGAGGCCCATAGTATTTTTGATTATCTTTAATTGGATTATTTACCTTTTAATCCTGACGAGGGGTACCCGGCCTAGTATGCCGAGTAGATATTCAGTTTCTTTTTCCTGAGGGTGGAACCGAGTTGATTCCTTTCCCAGTACACTAGCCCCACAAGCCCGGTGAGTTGCGAAGCAAGGGCTTAAAAATGGAGATGGTAATATTAGAATAGGTATTCGGTTGGAGTGCTTTTTATCGTACTGAGGGGGTCATCGTGGGGGTGTCCGGTCTCGATTGATGGTAACGTTTGATGTATTAATTTTTACACTGAGGAGTAGTCGGTTTAGTAACAACACGGTATAGGCCGAGATTATAAATAATAAATTTGCGAAGGAATATTCTAGAATGTTGGTTTTGAGGATTTGTCAGAGGGTATGTGAAGCGAAGGGGTGCTCCATCTCCTCCGTTGATCTGGAAGGGATCTGATGGTTTGAAACGAAAGGGCGTCTTTTCGTTTGCCCGACATCAGTCCCTTATAAATATGTGGTGGTCCCTGCATCCCTTTCTTACTCTTTTGCTCTGTGCCGAACCCTGCATACCTTTGCTCCAAACCGACGAGTGTTCAGAGATCCTAGGCTTTTCTTCCCTACCGATTGCTAGTAAGGTGCGTTTCATTTTTTCATTACTTCTTTTCTATCATGGCTGATCGTATTGAGTGGGATGATTCCCTGTCGAATGCCTCGGGGCCGAGTACCATTGAGGTTGATATTATAAATGGAACCGAGGGGAGTGGCGAAGTTTCGTCTATTTCAAACCGGAGGACTGAAGAGGCACAGGTCGACGAAGGTAGTAGCGAAACCGAGACGTCATCGTCAAGTGATACTGACGCTCCTGAACCCTTTCCTAGCACTAGTCCTCCTCGGGAAAGGCAGGTGTTTCCTCCTTGTACGGTGCCTGGTTATGAGTGGGTGCACGGTGAAGTGGCCGCCTACTTTTCTCGTTTCAAAAAAAATAAAAGTCTTCAATTTTTTGTAGATAATTGTGATATTTCTTTATGGGAGGCTTGTGACCCGTATCCTATACACCTTGACCCTTGTAAAGGGGACGAGGGCGAGAACCCAGATTTTGTTTTCCTGGGAGGTGTCGGAATGGCTGACACCTTCTTTATGTATGAGTACATGTTTAGGGAATTAGGTATCAGGCTTCCTTTTGACGATTTCCAAATGGGGGTTTTGAGGGTATTGAATGTAGCGCCAACACAACTACATCCGAACGGGTGGGCGGCAATTCAAGCCTTTAGAATACTTTGTAAATTCCATTATATAGAGCCTAGTGTAGGTCTTTTTCTTCATTTTTTTTGTACGCGTCCATCTGACCTGGCAAGGTGGGTCTCTCTAATAAGGCAACCTGAGTTGCCCTTATTTAAGCCATATGCGTCGTCTTTTAAGGGTTTCAAGACCGGTTTCTTCAAGGTAACCGTGGACCCTGTAGGTAAAAATTATTTTTTTGATAGCGAGGACAATCCCCTATTCCCTTTTCACTGGACTCGGGTGCCGCGCCGATACGATACATACCCTAAGGATATGTTATCGGCTAGAGAGCTATCGAATTTTCAATTCTTGAAGTCCCTTCCCCGGGACATTCCTGCCCGACATGTAGTCCTCGTCCTCAAGTCTCCGCGTCCTCGGTGGGATATGGAGGGTATGTGTTATTTCGTTTTTGACTTGTATTTGGAATTGAGCTATATTGATTTGACTTGCTATTGTTAATGCAGGTTTAATGGCTCAACGAGGTGTGGATGTGCCGACCTTCCGGCGCACTTTGAAGCAGAGAATGCTCGAAGGGACGCCCGTTGAGGAGCATCGCCATCCTCAAATCGACCAACTTCCCGAGGTGCCAGAACCTCACCCTCCTCCCCAAGATTTTGTTCCAGCCGAAGGCCCTTCCAAGAAACGCAAGGACAAGGGCAAAGGCAAGGAGCCCGAAAGGGAAAGGAAGAGACGGCATGCCCACTCGGGTGAGCCTGGCGGCGTTCAAGGGGCTCGGAGTCAGACCCGAGTGGTAGCTACTGGGGAGGGAAGCAGTTCTTCTCCCGTAGTTCCCTTGGACATGCTGGCCGAGGGCTTCCTGGTGAGCGGGACACATGCCGGTCGGCTCGCTGCTCCAAACCTGTTATCTGATGCAGGGAAGGAACTGGTCGGCGGTCTGGACTATGAGTCACTGTGGTGCTACTACGCGGAACTTCATGTACGGTCCACCGCAATGCTCCGAAGGCTGGTTGTGGATCCTATTCTCGAAGTTAAGAAGTTAAAGGCTGCCTATTCGGTTTCTGAAGAGGCTTTGGCCGAGAGTAGAGAGATTCAAGCTAGCCTGGACGAGACCGTTCAATCCCTGCAGGGTCAGGTTAACCAATACAAAGAGCACTTTCAAATAATAGAGGACCGAGTACATGCAGCTGAGGAGCTGGCGAGGGTCCGAGGGGAGGAGATGGAGGCGTTAAAGGCAAAGTCCTGTCAAATGGAGGAGGCTTTACGGGCCAAATCTGTCGAGATGGAAGAAGCCTTGGTGCTGGAGAGGCAAAAGGCTGAAACCGAGATGAGAAACTTTGCCGAGAAGTGTTCTTAGCAAGTATCTTACGAGCATGAAGCCGGTTTTAACCATGCTATTCGCCAGTGTTATGGGTTCTGCCAAGTACCGGTAGACTTTCATTTTGACATTACAAGGGACTTTTTTGGCGGGAGGTTCATTCCTTACACCGAGGTTGAGGATGATGTCGAACCCGACGTCGAAGTGCCGATACGCCTCCCTGAGCTTACTGCCAACCCTGAGGTTGCCGCTCCCGAGGCAGTGGAAAGGATAGAAAGTTAAATTATTCGCCCTTTGTATTCATGGGTCATTAGTGCCCACATTTGGTAACCAATTATTTTGAAATAGAATTTTATCCTTTTTTCTCATGCTTTGTATTTTGTCACACAACTTGCCTTAATATACGATATGCTTAATATACTCATCCTTAGCCAAATAACTTGCATACGATATACACTTAATATACTCATCTTTAGCCAAATAACTTGCATACGATATACACTTAATATACTCATCTTTAGCCGAGTAGAGGACGAGGGAGATGATCTCGTTTTAAAAATTCAGCCTTAACCAAATGATAACTAAGAGGAACTCGTAATTCGTTAATTTTGACCAAGCAGGAGTATTCGGGATTGAAGTATTTCGACCTTCAGTCAAGAGATGCTTGGAAGAAAAATGATAATTCACGCTTGACCGAGTGGGGAACTTGGGAGGGAGATATAATTGCTGCATCCTTGACTGAGTGGGGTACTCGGGAGGGAAACAATTCATCCTTGGCCAAGTGAAACTTGGGAGGGAAATATATTATTTCATCCTTGACCGAGTGAGGGTACTCGGGAGGGAAATATTGCTGCATCCTTGACCGAGTGGGGTACTCGGGAGGGAAACAACTCAACCTTGGCCAAGTGAAACTTGGGAGGGAAATATATTATTTCATCCTTGACCGAGTGAGGGTACTCGGGAGGGAAATATTGCTGCATCCTTGACCGAGTGGGGTACTCGGGAGGGAAACAATTCAACCTTAGCCAAGTGAAACTTGGGAGGGAATGGTGCTTGAAAGGTGTGTAGTGCATAAAAAACCGTATAGGTGAAGAAAGAAAAAATTTATTGATTAGGTGCCTCGTTAAAAACCTTCTCAAGAAAACCCCTTTTCACTTTCTTTAAAGAGGATAAAACCTGGGATAGGAAAAGAGTACACCTGTGCACGTATTACAAGGTTTTAGCTATAATAATGCTTTAAATGAGTGACATTCCAGGTTCTTGGTATTAATTTTCCTGCCAAGATTTCCAATTTGTATGCTCCGTTATTTAATCTTGTCGCTACCCGAAAGGGGCCTTCCCAGTTGGCGGCCAACTTCCCTTCTTGTCGATCCTTGCGCGCGTCCCCGGTTACTCGCCATACCAGGTCGTTTTTGTATAATTGTCGTGGACTTATTTTGGAGTTGAATTTTGTAGCCATCATTCTTTTACTAGCCTCGGTCATGATGGCAGCGTGATCACGGATCTCATCTAGCAAGTCCAGGTTGACGGCCAGAGCCTCTTCATTGGCCGATTCTTTGAAATTCTCTCTCCTGAATGAGGGCTCTCCAATTTCTACCGGCACCATGGCATCAGTACCATAGGTAAGCCGAAAGGGGGTTTCTTTTGTTGTGGTCTGCGGCGTGCACCGATAGGCCCATAATATCTCAGACAGCTTCTCTGCCCACTCTCCCTTTGCCGAACCTAACCTCCTTTTTAATTCATGCAAGATCACTTTGTTTGCAGCCTCGGCTTGGCCATTCGTCTGTGGATGTTCAACAGATGTAACTCTATGTTTGATATGCAGGCCTGCCAAGAACTCGTT